TCACTTCAAATCATGGCAAATACAGAGAATGAATGGGAATTAGAGGAGGGTATCCCTCAGTTTGGGGATCCCTTCATCCAACAATATCTGAAAGGACGCGATGCTTTAATTATGGAAGAGCGAAAGCGACGTCACGGTATTCCCCACTCAAATTAAGTACAAAATCCCACATCTGACCTTTTCCTGTAGATGCAAATCTGCGCGAATCACTATCACCTATCGCCGCCCGGGCGACAAAGATAGTGTCGCAGATCCGAGCTCAGGAACAGAATGAGCTATGGTCAAGTGGATTAGACGAGGTTGCGGCCCACCAGGTTGATGAGATCCTCTACCCCGGTGTTATGTTTAATCTCGCCAAAGGCCGTATGGAGAAGACCAGACTATGGAAGATCGTGGAGAAGATGCCAAAGGGGTCCCTTCTACATGCCCACATGGACGCCATGTTCGACATCAACTTCCTAATTGACCAGGCATTCTCGACGCCCGGCATACATATGTTAGCGCCGAAGCCGTTGATCACACCCCACGATTACGAAAACGCGCCCGTGCTTTTTCGGTATTCTTCGCAGCCTCTAGAAACATCCGAGGACAAGCCAAGCATCTGGTCGGAGACATACGAGCCCTCGTCGTTGATCTCGATCCAGAAGGCCGCCTCCTCTTTCCCCAATGGAGGAGAGAAGGGTTTCCGGGAATGGTTGAATACTCGGTGTGTCCTTTTGCCGGAGCATTCGTATCAGCACCACCACGGAGTAGACGCAATTTGGTCTATCTTCACAAAGACTTTCCCCATTGTCGACTCTCTCTTGATGTACGAGCCTATTTTCCGTGCCTGTCTCCACCGGTTGCTCGTACAACTTGCTGAGGATGGAATTCGATACGTGGAGTTCCGCATTGCATTCGTCTTTCAGTTTCGGAAAGAAGGAAATGACCAACCCGAAGAAGACTACTTCGAGTGGTGTCGTGTGGTGGAAGATGTCGTGGCCCAGTTCAAACAAACGGATGAAGGGAAGAACTTCTACGATCCTCGCATTATTTGGACTACGCTCCGGTGGTTTGGCAATGAGGCGATTGTCAATAGCATGAAGCAGTGCATCGAAACAAAGCAGGAATTCCCCGGTCTGATCAGTGGGTTTGATCTTGTTGGCCAAGAGGATAACGGGAGGCCGCTAGTCGACCTTGTCCCGGTGCTATTTTGGTTCCGAAAGCAATGTGCGGAAGAAGAAGTCGATATTCCCTTCTTTTTCCACGCTGGAGAATGTCTCGGCGACGGTGACGCGACGGACCACAACCTCTTCGATGCCATCCTTCTTGGCACTCGACGAATCGGTCATGCGTTCTCGCTTTACAAGCATCCTCTGCTCATCGATTTAGTCAAAGAGAAGAAGATCCTTGTTGAATGCTGCCCGATCTCGAACGAAGTGCTTCGCCTTGCTAGCTCCATCAAATCCCATCCTTTGCCCGCGTTATTGTCCAGAGGCGTCCCCGTTTCGCTATGCAATGACGACCCCGCAATTCTTGGCCACGGAAGGAATGGATTGACGCATGATTTCTGGCAGGCTTTGCAGGGACTCGAAAATGTGGATTTGGTCGGCCTATTAATGATGGCCCAGAACTCCATCCGGTGGAGCTGCTATGAAGACCAGTCGACCGCCGAGTGGAAGGCCGGCATTCAAAATGGGGTACTGGGGAAGGGACTGAAATCGGAACGTCTGCAGGCTTTCGCTTCGGATTTCGAGAAATTCTGCGAGTGGGTTGTGCTGGAGTTCGCTGAATACGATACTGGAGATGATTGAAGTACTTCATGTTGATCACAATATACGAGTCACGTACATAGTCGCCTAGCACGAACAAGCATGAGAACACGAAAGCAGCCTTCGGTAATAGTCCAGCTGGTGTAGGCCAATTTCTGTAATTATTGAAATAATTTGGAACATAGCACAAGTCAATGAGAAGATAATTGGTCAAGTCTGGTGTCAATCGGTGAGTTGGCACCTCGGCGCCTGACTCGGCTTATCGCGCCTTTATCAGGTGCCCGGAACGTCATTGTTGAACATTCCCCCCTTCACGACTTCGCCATCCACTCCGCTTTGTCGGGGCTGGCTGCTTTATTGTTTTCGTTAACCTATTTTCGATGATACGAGTCCGCATATGAACGAGCCCGGTCCCGGCTCTCAGTCACGATGGCGTCGTACTTTATGCCATCGTTCTTCCAGAAGCGGCTCCTCAAATACGCCTTGTCCCGCTTGGGCCTGGTCGACACAGAGGCTTTGGATCCAGATAACCTAGGCATCTGCTGGGGACAACGGTCTACCATCGAGTTGAGGGATATTGGCCTCAAATTAGAGGTGAGTGGGTGCAGTGACCCTCCGCAGGCGGCAGGGCGGCCTTCCATGATATCGAACACGCGACCTATGGAGGAGCAGTGCGGGGCTGACTGTCTACATTGCGAGATAGAAACTATCCACCCTACTCAATCTTCCTCCATCGTGCGAGCTGGTCAGCGCCCGAGTTCAGCTCCTTCGAATCACCCTTCCTGCCGATTTCCACAACAGCGGGATCCTGTGTGAGGCAAACGGCATCGACGTACATATTCGGTTATCGTCAGAGGAGTCGAAAAAGGAACATCACGCAAAAAGGAAAGGCGAAAAATATGACTATTCGGCGGTGCCCACACCGTCTGGTCTTGCGGAGTCATTCCTTGAGTCCGAGCCAAAGGAGGAAAGAGAAGAGCTGCAGGCTGCAATATCGTCACAGTCGCAGGTCCTGCCTCACGACCCATTAGCCTGGTCCACCGATGACGATAACGAGCTCGGCCTTGGGAGTGAGACTCTATCACTGCCGAGCTTTGTGGCGGGTTTCTTGAAAGGCGTTGTGGATCGCCTCCAACTCAAGGTAAAAGATGCAGTTGTGCGAGTGGACATGGAGTTGAAGCAAGATGGAACGTTAAAACGGCAACCTGAACATAAGCCGGACCTTGTAGCAGGGTTCTTGAGCGTCGGGGAAATTGATGTACACGGGGTATCTGAGAAAACCGTTGGCCCGGAGGGCCTTCCTTTCCGAGAAGGGAAGCGGCTCATCTCAATCGCTGATATCAATTTTGGTTTGGTTTCGGACCCATCGGTGTTCTCAAACTACTCTCGTTTCGCTGCTCCTGTATCGCCGACGACGACTATGCGGTCAAAAGGGAGCCAGCCGTCAAGCAGAGCGCCATCACCCTCTCCATTGGATCGCTCTGACGAACCCCTTGCTATGACCCAATCAACTATTTTCGAGCCGCCACGAACTTTTGGCCATTCGAGTACCATCACAGACAGGTTAGAGGCATCTGCATTTTCCGATGGTCGATTCTCAGACGCCGACTCTGAGTCAGGTAGTCACCGTGGTGGATACCTGGAGGATTCTCAAATATTTGGAGATGACCCCTTCCAAGACAACCCGGGGTACCTAGACTCGGTCATTGACAATCAATTCGATGATTTTGATGATGAGCAGTCACCGGTAATACATCCCGAAGACCGACAGGCCGAGCGTGAATGGAGAAACCACTTGCCTCATGGCCCACGAAGCTTGCATCAGAGCCAACAGGTCGGATCCTCTGACGAGCCCTTGATCCCCTCTCACAGCTATCATATATCCCAAACTTACGACACACATCACAGCCAAATCGGCTCTGAAATTGACGAAATAACGCAACCCACACATCATTACAATGATTACGGAAATGAACATAACGAAAAATCACAATTAAGCGTATCATCCAATCCTCCCAGTACATCTCCTCCACGCTCAGAGCCCGAGAGCACGGGCTCACGACAAGAAAGCCCAACTGTTGATCTCAACGAGTCCAAGCTTTTCTCCCACTATGAAGCGCAAAGCCTCTACATGAGCGCTACCAGCCAGGGTGGGGGTGGGAGCTTCATGCCACAAATGCCAGGTGGCTGGGGCTCGTTTGATACTGCATCAAACTCTCCGGGTGCTCTTGATGACCGATCTAAAATCATCACACCTATTGATCCCGCGCACTCTGCCCATGTCCAAGGTGAAGCGGATTCAAGATGCACAGCCCCATCAGAAGACAATGTCACTGAGAAGCATGATTTGGATGACCAAGCCCAATCTCAGACATTGCACAAGGACAGACCCTCGACTCCATCATCTCCTGGATTGCACAGAATCAATGAAATGAGAAAATCGGTGCTTACTGTTGACAGAATTTTGCTGTGGTTCTCACCTGCTACTTCTTCTGAAGAAGTGTTAGCCGAACCATCGCCTGTATTACAAAAAGAGAACGCAGGCAGTGACCTAAACGAGTCCACAGCTAGCTTTGGGGACTACGCACCCGAAGAAAGTCTACTTGCCTCCAGAGCTTACAAGTCTACAAGGTTCGGAAGGGACTTTGATGAGACACGGGCCCAGTCAAGCGCTGGGTCTGAACTGCCTGAAATTGCCATGGAGGTGTTCTCTGTCTCCGTGCATTTCGATATTGCAACTGGTTGGCTTCTAACCAAGATAGTACAAAAGTTGTCTCACGCTCTCGGTACGGCTGAAAAAGATCCGTCTGAGCAGCAGCCGCGAAAGGACCAGCCTGCGCGCACACCACCTGTTCATCTTGTCGTCCATGCACTTTCAATAAAATTCATCGAACGTGTTTCGGGGCATGTATATTCGTCTCACAATAATGGCTCGCCTTTGTCTCCTTCCTACAGCATGGAAGATGTGATCCTTCGTCTTACTCTATCTGGTTTGGATGCTCGCCTTTCAGCTCAAAGTACAACTTCCAAGCTGAATCTTGACGTATCCAAGTTTGCATTCGGGTTCGCCTCAGAGGATATCATATTCTTTGATGAAAGATTGAAAATGCGCGAATCTACGCGTGATGTTTTATCCCCTTCCCAAGGAGATATTTCGATCTCCTTGGCCAAATCGACAGATGTAGCAAAGGTTGACATCTCCACGCTACCTCTCCATATCAATCTCAATATACAGCGCCTAGAAGAGGTCCTAGGCTGGATGGGTGGCCTGAGCACCATTCTCGAACTTGGTAGTTCCATGTCGTCAGTGTCGACAGTCAAAGGCTCCGCGCCACTTCCCAAACAGCGCCCCCGTGGTGTGCATTTTGAGACACCTGCCCCAGCTGTTGACACGACCAAGGGCACGTCAGCCTTATGGAAAGTGAACGCCCGGGTTGGTGCCACCCTGTTGGATGTTACTGGTGAGACCCACTGTCTTCAACTTACCACCACCGCCGTCAAAATCGTCAGCAGGTTTGAAGGGATTGGTATCCAAATAGACAAGGCCAAAATGATTGGACCACTTTCAATTGATGACGTATCATCTGATACTCCCGCCAAAGTCACCCTGAACAATATCCGCCTTGAATTCCTTTTTGCCCCGAAGGAGGTTGATCTGGATCGTCTTCTGACATTGATTACTCCGTCCCAGGACAAATTTGAAGTGGAAGATGACATCATGCTAGACACACTGTTGCGCCAGCGACGACAAGGATCTGTTCTTCGCGTGACAGTGGGGCGCTTGGAAACGTTCATCTCAGATACCGGTGGGTTGGAGCCTCTCTCATCTCTTGCTGTCGAGCTGAGTCGGCTTTCCAATGTCACAAAGTATTTGCCGGAAGATGATCGCCCTGGTATTCTTACTTTGGTACTGGTCCGTGACTTCCAAGGACACCTCCACGTTGGTGGAGAAGTTGGGGACATCGAAATTCGACTTTCCAGTGTTGAAGTTGCACACATCACCATGCCTTCGCTCACTGCGGCCCAAATCGGAACCATGACCGTTACTCGGAATAACGACGAACAGCTGGTGGGGCATGCCCTGTGGCCCCCGAACAAGTATCAGGACCCAGACCCGTCCTATCCGCCGGTCCTCATGGCTCGTTTCATACCCGACGAGATGGATCCTACTTACAAGGTCAAACTTCACAACCTCCTTGTCGAGTACACGGTACCATCAGTGACAGCCTTCCTTGGATCGAGTGGTGACAAGATGAGTGGAGATTTGGCTAGTAATATGGTCAACTCTATCGCCAATCTTGCAGAGCAGTCAATGTCGTCACCTTCGATGACAGGACGGCCGATGTCGAATGAATCCAGCTCCTCGACAAAGCCGGTCAAATTGTCAGTTGTGTTTAGAGATTGTGTACTTGGCCTCAACCCTCGCAATTCCCACGCAAAAGGCCTTGCAGTCCTCACCAATGCCAAGTTCAGAGGAACTATTCATGAAGATGAATCTGCGGAAGCATCATTGGATATTAGGAAAGCCTCGCTCATGATCATCGACGATGTGTACCATGAGGGTGCTTATAATCTGCACCAGCGGGGCTCGCTCGTTCCCCAAGACACCCAGGCTCAAGCGTATATCGATAAAGGCTATGTTCCTGTTTCTTCCATCTCGTCAGCAACTGCTGGTATCAAGCTTACCAGCGCTGAGGATGGGACGAAGTCTTTGGACGTAGAGCTGAGAGATGAGCTGTTGATCCTCGAGACCTGCGCGGATTCAACTCAAACGCTCATTAGCATCATGAATGGGCTTCAGCCTCCACCTCCACCAAACATCAATATTAAATATCGAACAGAGGTTATGCCCATCCAAGATATGTTCGCCTCGTTCACTGGGGACGCATTTGCGGCCGCTCCCCCTCTTCCCGGTGATAATGATATGGCAACTATCTCCGAAGGATCATCCAGGGAAGATCAGCTAACCGACGAACTTGAATACGTCAGCGATTTCTATCCTGTGAAGGGCGGCCTTGGTGGTGTGGGCATTGAAGCTATAGAAGCGGACTCCAATGATCTGCTGGACAGCTTCCATTCCCAATATCAAGTATCTTCCAGTATGACGGAATTGGACTTCCAGGAGGACCATTTTGCAAGGAAATCAGCTGTGGGTGGAACAGCTCATCGGTGGGACTCCACCCGGAACACCTACGGGTTCGCCAATGACACGAATCTCGAGCGGAGTCCTTTGCGTGTGCGTATGCGAGACGTGCATTTCATCTGGAATCTGTTTGATGGATATGACTGGCAGCGCACCCGTGACACAATATCCAAAGCTGTCAAGGATGTGGAAACCAAGGCCACAGAACGCCGTTCCAGGGGCTCACGGATGTCACCTTCGGTAGAAGATGAAGAGGAGTCTGTCATTGGCGATTTCCTCTTCAATTCCATTTACATCGGTATTCCAGCCAACAAGGATCCGCGGGAACTCCACCGCGAGATCAATCATGACATTGATGATTTCACCAGCGAGACTGGGAGCTATGCCACAACCACTACGGCTACTGGGGCTGGAAGTCGCCAGGGCCGGTCGACCTCTAAGAGGGAGAAGAAATTGCGCTTGCATCGGAGCAAACACCACAAAATGACGTTTGAGTTGAAGGGTGTCTCTGCCGATCTGATTATCTTCCCACCGGGCTCAGACGAGACTCAGAGTTCGTTGGATGTGCGGGTCAAGGATTTGGAGATCTATGACCATGTCCCGACCTCGACATGGAAGAAATTCGCAACCTACATGCGCGAGGCTGGCGAAAAAGAGAGCGGAACGAGCATGGTTCACCTTGAGATTCTGACTGTAAAGCCTGTGCCTGAGCTAGCTGCATCTGAGATCGTTCTCAAGGTCTGTTACGCAATCGGTGAATTACTCAAACTAGTTTCTAACTGGACTCCTAGGCCACTGTTCTACCCCTCCGGTTGCATGTTGACCAAGATGCTCTCGACTTCATGAGTCGGTTCTTTGAGTTTAGAGATGAGACGGCCGAACCATCTGATACCCCGGGCGATGTTCCATTTTTGCAGCGAGTAGAGATAAACGCCGTGCAAGTCAAACTAGACTTCAAGCCTAAGCGGGTCGACTATGCAGGACTCCGGTCCGGCCGCACAACTGAGTTCATGAACTTCTTCGTCCTGGATGGCGCCGACATGGTACTACGACATGTGATCATCTACGGAGTGTCTGGATTCGACCGAATGGGCCAAACTCTCAACGACATATGGATGCCAGACGTCAAGCAGAACCAACTGCCCAGTGTGCTCGCTGGTCTCGCTCCGATCCGTTCCCTAGTCAACGTCGGTGGCGGCGTGCGCGACCTGGTCGTCGTCCCAATGCGCGAGTACAGAAAGGACGGCCGAATCGTGCGCAGCATCCAAAAGGGCGCGTTAGCCTTCGCCAAGACAACCTCTAACGAGCTGGTCAAACTCGGCGCAAAACTCGCCATCGGCACACAAACCGTCCTCCAAGGTGCGGAGGACCTACTGACCACCCCCAACGCACCAGCATTCGACGAAGATCTCCTCGACGAAGACGAAGCCAAGAAGATCTCACTGTACGCTGACCAGCCGGTTGGGGTGGTACAGGGACTGCGCGGGGCGTTCAGCGGCCTCGAGCGTGATCTGCTCTTGGCTCGCGACGCGATCGTCGCCGTACCCGGGGAGGTGGTCGAGAGTGGGAGTGCCAAGGCCGCCGCAAAGGCAGTCTGGAAGCGTGCGCCTACGGTCATCCTCCGACCCGCCATCGGGGTGTCCAAGGCTGTGGGACAGACTCTGCTTGGCGCGGGGAATACCCTTGACCCGAGTAATCGGCGCAAGATGGAAGATGTAAGTGATTTCCGAGCAACCACCCTATTTCGGTATTTCGGTGGCTGTGACTGACTCAGGTTTTAGAAGTATAAACGGTACTGAGAGTGAGGTACATGAGTCCATTGCTTGGCTGGGGTTCTGTCGGTGATTTGGCCCTTACATACTTCGTACATACATGCATGGTCGATGATCCCTTTTTGCTTTTCATTTTTTAAACAATTTCTGAGTTAGTTTAGCTTTTTCTCTCTCATTGTTTCATCAGTTCGATACCACATCACGACCACATTACAATCTCAAATTGCTCTTTTCTTTCATTTTGATACTTCAGGTCATTTTTAGTTTTAGCCTGCATGATGTGGGAGTCCTGAGTTTGTTCAAGAAAGGATCGAGATCTTGATCCCGATCTATTTCTACGGATCCACCAAGTACCAAAGAAGACAAAGAAAAGCTATGTCGATCCCAGTTCCTATATCGGACAAAGCGGTAGCATCCGAGTCTACTCCTTCGGGTAGTTGCCACCCATTTAGAAGACTCTTGTACTACCAGTACTCCGTAAAGCCCACACACAGCGTTGGAAAAATGCTAAGTTCCGACGATCACCTGGGCCTGGGGCAGCAAGGCAGTAATACGTTTAAATTGCATAACGCATCATGCATGTGAAACGCAAATCTGGGGGTTGCAGTCGTATCGCAGGGCAGATGACTTGGGCCGATTAAATCGAGATGAGTTGGCATGCCGATCTGTGTAATCCCTACCAACGTGTATCCGCATTTGTGCCTTATTTCTTCCAGGTACGAGGTACGAGGTGCCCGACCATGGGATCAAAGAGATCAAAGAGTAATCCAATTCAAGAACCATTACTACAATTCTCCCTCACGGCCGAAAGGACCTGAATCATGAACCGAGATCACACGACGCAATAGAAAGTTCCCCTTCCTTGCATCAACGGTGCATCACTGCATCACTGCAAAGTACTCCATACATACCTTATCCACTGCCTTGGAAGGAAGTCCGATACGAATGACCAAGTCATGATGTCGCCAGTGGAGAAAGAAAAAATTATTTTCGCCACATTGGAATTCGAACCCGATAACCAATCAAGGGTGTGAAGGCCGCCACAGCCGAAAGGTCATTTTTTTGCCTTGCTCAGCCGTGTACGAAGACACGGCGTTCTGTACGCCGACTGGTTCTAGGCTTAAAGAGGCGGTTGGTGAAGATTAGGGGTGTGAAGTGGGTGATTGGTTGGAGACGGGATGGTGGAGAGTATATAGGTAAAGAGGACTAAAAGCACTAAAATACTAAACGGGAGAGGCTGAGACCATCTGCAAGTGATAGTTACAATCCTATTATGTTTGTTATAATCTATAATAATTCATAGAATGCCCAACATACTCCGTATGTATACATCTAATGCTATATAATGTTCTTCCCAGACCGACTTTTCCATGATGACATTTGATGGACGAACCATGGGTCCCTCCAAAGGCCTCGACCGTCCCCCATATCAATTTTCTCGTCTTCTTCTCTTCTGCCTCTAATTGGATCGGTCTGACCGGCCCTTGAGGGCTGGTCTGATTCAACTGGCTATAAACTCGTTGTTATTTCAGTAACGTGGGTAATGTGGATACAGATCCAGGCACATTCCTTTCTATTCTCTCATTTTAACATAAAATTACTCTTCCTGCACTTCTGTGCCTTGCAGTTTGTTTATTGTGATCTATTGATATTGCGACCGGTAAGCCTATCTCCAATCCCTTGCGGCGTAAATCTGACGAATCAAATTCAGTGTGGAGAAGTGGGTTGCGATCTACTGCATTGGATATGTCGATAACCTAAAAAAAAGGTGGTCCGAGAGCAGAACGATAGAAGCAGGACTTCAAGAAGCCAAAGGCGAAACCAGTGATATTCGCAATTGCAAAGCACAATGAACGAAAACCTCAACTACTCCGCCGCCAATGGCATATGGCATGGCGAGCTGCTGGACAGCCCCCTCTGCCAGAAGTGCCTCCAACTCCATGACCATCATGCGTGTAGCACTCCTCTTCCCAAACCCCTTTTGGCAGACTCGGCAGACGCTTTGTCCCTCCCCCCTCGATCCATCAAATCCCGTACCACGGGAGCCCTTTCTCTCCACGATTACCACAAGTTCCTCTCCAAGTCTGAAGACCGCAGTGACGATCCTGTCGATCATACAGGAAAGAAATTGAAGCGGAAAACAGCTGCATTGCATTTGAATCGCTCTTCCCCTCCTCCCATCTCTTATCCTGTATCTGTATCGTCCGTCGCTTCGAGTCCTCCGCCTCTGTCTCCTTCCTACTCGCACAGCATTGTCTCTCAGTGGAGTGAAGAGCCTGAGATCGGGGAAGCCCAGCCTGGTAAGCTTCTCCAATTGACTTTCTTGTATACTCCCGGAAGCTTTATTAATAGTTTACTAGTTCAGTACCAATCCACTCAAAGCCCTCGACTACCCGTTATCTCGGATCTCGGGACTCGTGCTAGACCTAACAGGAAGCGAGTGGTAAGTTGACTGAAACGCCACGCAAAGACCCAACTCACTGATAATAGTCAAAGAATACCTTTCGCCAAAAGCTTCAACAAAGGGCCCAAGCTCAAGCAGAAGGAGCTGAGCGTGCCTCTGAACCTCAAACCTCGGACTCAATGCTGGCCAGTACGCAGGCCGTTGCCACCGTTTCACACGGTGGCGCCTGCTTTGAGATCCTGAATCCGCGCAAGTCGCTGGATCTAGCACGCATCGTCTCCTACATTGAAGACGTCGATAATTGCTCCATGGTCTCCACAGACAACCAGGGAGACTCTACTTTCTCGATCGAGCAAGGACTGGACCGGGTGTCCCTGTCCCAATTCACCGATGCCTCGTTGCCATCATTCTATTCCACCAACTCGTTGTACAAGTCCCTCCCAGCTGATCCCTCAACAACCAAGGGTCAGCCGACGGATATTCCGTCATCCTCACCGCGAATCGGTCAACGCATCCGGTCTCTATCAGACTACTCTCTCAACGAACATAGCTTCAACTACTGGAGCCGACCTGCACAGCGTACTGAAAACCACGATCTACGCATCGAAACCTACAACGACCACCCGAACAACGACACAGAGGCCCGGCAGTCACCACAGATGGCCTCTATCACGGAAGAATCCAACACTCCAAATCTAGAATTCTCCCGCCGGCCCTCCACCCCGTCCACGCAAACCTTCTACTCAGAAAGTGAGATTGGCGAGCCCGGCTCACCCGTCTACGCGAACGGCGACTGGGCTCAAGTCACCGAGCGCGACAGAGGCATCCTGTTCGACGTACAGGAAGACGAAACAACCGACCAGCACAACCACCCGGACTACCAATACTACCCATACTCACAAGCACACGAAGAACCACCTACACCCCAGGAACCCCCCCTGGAGACACCAACTGGTTCGCCAACGTACCCCACCTTCGACTCCGCCTACCCCTACCCAAGCTCCATCTCAACCTCCAAACTCCCACACCACTCCGCTCCCTTCGATCCCTACACCTACGACCCGGTGTATTTCGATCCACATGTCCAGTCCGTCCTCGCAGCTGCGAACGCAGAGACGATGGGGTTACGGGGGAGTCCTGCACGCGCACTGGATGAGCTGCAGCGAGGGGCGCGGGCTGGCGAGACCAGTCCGCGGTTCGAGTTCCAAAGGAGAAAGAGTGACGACCGGAAGACCGGGGCCCAGAAGAAGGGGTTGAGGAAGTTCTTTAGTTGGAAGTCTGGGAATTAGACATAGTTCTGAGAACTTGGTAACTGGTGGGATTCTGGGAATCGGCAGCTGGCTGTGTGTGTGACTTTTGGACCGGGAATTCAATGATTTACGTCCATTATGACTGTGAAGAACATGGCGCTTGGGTGATGAATTGGATTATTTGAATAGATGGGCTGGCTGGATACGGGTCTCGATTCTTTTTTCTTTTTGGCGGTTCCTTCTACCTTGTCCTTTTTTATTACTTTTATTGCTTCTATTTGAGTCTGAGACTCGTTTTGTATCTATATCAATTTACACTTGACGCATGTCACCATTCGGGTTATTTTCAACTTTATGAACTCATCGATTCCTGCTCAGAATGGCATGTCCTTTGCAAATTGTCGATCAAACGAGGAATATGTCAGAACGCTAGATTGATGGAATGTTTCTTTCTCTATAAGGGTATCAAAGCGAATCGAGTATATACAAATCCAGATCTCCATCCATGGAATCCAACATCACCAACCTTAACCTTAACCATAACCCAACCACCTCAATCATCATCCCTCTCAACCATCGACGCCAAAGCCGCACTAACAAGACTCTTCCTCCTAAGCCCCTGCTCATTCCTCTTCCCAAACCCACTGTAGTGACTCTTCTCAACCCGACTAGCCAAAACACCCGCCGAAGAACTTTTCCTCCTCGCCCTCCCCTCACCGCCCCCCTCCGGCCCAAACCGACTGCGCGCAAGCGTAACCGCCCTCCTACGCGGCGACGACCGCAGCGGCAACGAACTAGGATGACAGTCATCTTCATCGCAGCAGTCCGGCGCCGGCGGCTCTTCTAGCAGCGAGCGCTGCATAGCCTCGACCTCAGACTCGTTGCATTGCAGTCTGGAGATCTGCTGGCGCTGCGTGCGAACGTCCTGGTGGTAGGGATTGGGCTGGTGGAAGGTGTGTCCGAGGCCGAAATCCGGTAACTCGGAGATGAGGTCTGGGGGCATGAATGTTGGGCTTGTTGTTGAGGAGGCGGAGGGCGAGGAGAGACAGTCGACGCCGGAGTCGTCCGAGTGGTCTGTGTCCGGGGGCGTGAGGACGTAGCCTGCGCCGGGGTAGCGTGAGGCTGTGTGTCTGCCGGTTCGGTGGGTGTTGGTATACTGGGGTTGCAGGTCGGCTGTTGGTGCGAGGGTGTGTTCGTGTAGTTTTTGGGTCAGGGTCGAGATGGATAGTCGTTTGTTGTCCGAGTCATAGGGGAAGGGGACGGAAGTTGGGGGTTGTTGGTTGCGATGGAAGTGGGAGGAGCGCGAGCGAGAGATGTTGCGGAAACGATGGGATTGCGGTGATGGACAGCGTGAGGAGAGTGGTGAGATTAGGGTGCTGTCGCTGTCGACCATTAGTCGGTCGTCCGGGTCGAGGGTGAGGCGGGCGGGTCGCGACGATGGCGATGTGAAGGAGAAGTCTTCGAACATTTTCTTCTGTACTTGATGGATTTGGGCGGTTTTCGGGTGGATATAAAGTATGGGAGTATAAGGTGATCTGCGTTCCTTTGACTGGAATGTGGTCGGAGTTGTCGCCTTTTGAGTATTGCGATATGGGTTTCGTGTCAGGAATTGACCACCTACACTTGGGGGGCAGGGTACACGAGTGCGTATCGTGTATGGTCTTCGACTAATATAGCGCAGGGAATTATTTGCCCCTCGGGAAAAAAGTCAATTGTCAACCACTGGTTGAGGTTGAGGCGAATGTCCACGTGACCGGCATCCACTGTGCATGCAGCCACATTTTGTTACAACGGACAGGTCCTTTTCTTTTTTGTTGTTTTTGCTTTTGTAAACAACATACAGGGTTTGGTTCAGTTTCAAAGTCAGTTCAACGAATTTTTTCCGTCTCTTTTTCCTCTTGTTCATATCCCTGCAAGATTACCAAGACCCTGATTCTTAAGTGCATGTCGATCTTCATGTGGATACCCGTGCCCTAAGTTGATCTCCCGGGGACTACGGAATGCATCTACATACATTGTAATAAGAGTATATTAGTATTCATCAGATATATTTTCAACTTGCATTATTTGCTTCTCCGGCACTTCCCTAGTTGTCGGGATTTCCCTAAAAAGAGATCAGATACGATGTACGAGATATATAAATGGCCCTACCCGTTAAAGACCGACTAACCTCATATTCACGTTTACATATGTATCCATTTATTGTAAGTTTACGATATTGGTCTCTCCGATCATGACGGGCATGTCAATTCTCTGTGAGTGTGACTGGATACATACATGCATATTGACCGAGACAGGCTACTCATACGTCTCGATAGTTCGTTCCAAGATTGTCAGTAAACAAATTATCGTCTCTTTCTCACTTCCCTCTCACCTCCGTCTCACTTTCCTCTCTCTTCCATTACCTTCCCTTTTGTCCATACCATCGTCCTTTTCATCAAACCCAACTCCTACAATGACTGAAAATATTATGGAAAAGGGCAAGGTGCCCGACAAGGCCATTGAAGACATTGTCATGACCAATGAGGCCATTACCACCCAGGACGGAGCCAAGAAGCCCACGCCCACGAAGTGGAAGAAATCGCAGGCCTATTTTGAACGGCGTAAAGCGCTGGCTCGTGAGAACCAGGGTAAGCGTCAGGAGCGCCGCCGTCTCCGCAAAGTGGGTATTGAGGTGGTGAGGAAACCACTCATTCTCCAGTGGCAGTATCTCGGTGTTTTGGACTAACAGTATTCGGGTATACAATAGCCTCCCCGCGTGCGTGACCCTGCCCTCCCGGAAAAGCCCAAGCGTAACAAGCGAATCAGAAAGAGGCCGAGAAAGGCCAAAAGTATGTATCCCTACAAAGATTGATACCGAATCCGCACTACCATCTATTATAAGCTGCAGCCGAAGCTGCCTTGCCAGCTGCTGGGCAAAACCAAGACCCCTCTGCAGACGTAAGCGCCCCCTTCCCACCACCACTCAGTCGGAAGTCTTCAGGCGAATGCTTTGTCGGATGATGAATATGAGGAGATGTGTAAAGACCACAGCTCAGTACGAGTACTCGTAGACGTACGTACTTTACCCAAGTGCTGTCGTTGACCCTTTTGGTACAATTTAGTGAAGAGTGGTAGCTGATGCTACCAACTCAGTTAACTATTTCCATTGGATTTTCCTGCAGTGAATACAATTTGAAAGCCTCATTGGGTCAAAGACTAGATCCTAAATTTATCCCTCTAGCTGGAGATGGCAAAGGAAGATGCCGAAATCGCATTCGTAAGACATGTACGGACCAAGCACTTGAGGGTGATAGACTAGGTAATCCTATCCTGGACAAGAAAGAAATGCAGAACTCATCCCTCAATTACACCTCGTCAGTCCTTTCCCTAGTCATATAATCCTCCAACCTTCCCAGACAGTCCCGAACTTCCACATGAACTCTCTCTGTTTGAGTTTCTTCCTTCTCCATGAATCTCTTGAACCAGTGCGGCGAGTTCCGCTTCCTCAAGCATCCGAGGAACTTCTCGCTGCCAGCGAGCTAGCGGAAGTAGAGGGCCCGTTGGCGTCATCTTGGGCAGCGGTAGCAGCTATATCCTTTGAAATTATTGCTATTCACTAAATATAAAATCCTGTTATGGAACATACTTCTCTTCGTTGCCCTTTCCTGGCCAGGGCGGCGCTGGTTGCGCTTACAATTTAGGGGGAGTGTAGAGTCGTGTACCCCCTACACGATGCGGGCCTATAGCAATCAACGGGTCGTTTCAGGCCAAGTTAACCGAAGCAGTAATGAGACAAAAGGGAGGACAACTATGAACAACCAGAAGTCTCCGCAAGTTGAGACTAGAGAAGACATGCGTACTCACCATGTCAATGCCCTGACTGCGCAGTATGCGCCGGAAACAAGGGTCCCGCTTTTTCGTTTTCTTCATTTGGGTTGTTCCAGAGAAGAGGGCCGTCTCATAGTGATAATGGTGAAATGGAAAAGACAAAACAAAATGGTGATGTTGATGGAATTTGGTGAGAGAGACAATTGCACTTAGGGAGAAGCGCAGGGTCTCGCTGACCCTGGACAACGGAGGACTATAGGTACCAAGCAATTGTTAGTTCAGGTTGAATTATGCACAGCGATGATGAGATGAAACAGGAACCTTAGAAGTATAGGAGGGATCCCGCCAACTAGGGACAACGAGGATATTCGACAGGTTAAGACTTGGAAAGACCAGAGTGCTTACCATATCAACTCTGCAATCACGGAGATATCATGGGAAAATTCTGTTCTTTTTCCTTTTCTTTCGGGTCACACACGGGAAGGAGGGCCATGGTAATACCGATAGATCGTGCGGTGGTATCCATGTGTGATCTCTCTTAGCAGTCACACTCGATGTTTGAGACGGTGCCAGTGATAAAAATGAAAAGAGCTTCGAGTCACTGCGCAGCCTCCCCGATAAATTGATAGAACTCTCTTCCGTTCTAGTGGTTTGTGGTACGGAGGGTAGGCTCACGGGCGATGTCCTCCTGGGACAGAGTTTTGAGGGACTGCTAGACTTATGTCGACATCGGTGGGTGGTAACATTGAGAGAGGAAGGAACGATGGTTTACGCGCGTCGGGGACTTTAAATCCAACATTCCAAGGTTGGAAGGAACGTTTTTGCTGACTTGGATACAAGTAGAGCATATCTACCTAGGTAGTTCTATAAGGTAGTAGGGCGTGAGTTGTTGTGTGCGCCTTCACAGTGAACAGAGCGTCATACCAAATCATTCTACCTAAGTACTACCACAGTATCATTTTACGCTTCAATATATATATATATATATATATATATATATAAAGGGCGCGGGAGAAAAAAAAAAAATG